TTTTCTTCGGCTTCAACTTGAACTTGCATATAAGAAATTGATGGTCTCTTCCACAGTCAGTCCTGGCCTTGTTTTGACTGATGATATTGTGCTTTTCCATGGTCTCTTTCCACAGATATAGTTTATTTTATTCCTGTGTATTCCATCCAGGGAGGTCCACATGTATAGTTATCATTTATGTTGTTGACAAAAGGTATTTGCAATGAATAAATATTGGTCTTGCAGAATTCTATCATGCTATCTATGGCTTGTTTCTATCATCAAAGAAATAGTTTCACCAAAGATCCTTCCTCTTTGCTTCCAAATTTCAGTTTCCAATCACCAGTCAATGTATCTTGATTGCATGTTTGATCAATTTTAAACTGTAGAAGTTGGTAAATATCTTCATTTTCTTCATATTTCACACTAGTGGTTTGCTTGTAGATTTGACTTATAGTAGTATTAACTCATCTTCCTTGTAGACATATGGGTGTTATCCTATCACTATCATTACTGTATTTCAGGATAGATATTGAAATATGCTTTTTGATGATGAATGTGATGTCATTCGTCTTCAATTTGTCATTCCATGAATAGTACACCGTATGATTGTCTGATTTAAAATGATCAGTATCAGTCCATTTCAACTAATTAATGCTTAGGACATCAATTTCATTTTTAAAACTTTCAGTTTCCTAGATTCAGATTTTATATATCCTACATTCTGATTATTAATGGATGTTTGTAAATGTTTCTTCCCCTTTCAAGTCATGCCACATCAGCAAATGACAGTCCTGATAGCTTTACTTTATTCACATCATTAAAATCAACTCTATTTTGAGGAGGCACCTTTTCCCAGTCATATTTTGATTATCTTCCAACCTGAGAAACTCATCTTCAGGCACTATATCATACAATGTTCTGCTATCCATACAATTTTCACTAGCCATGTTTTCAGAAATATACCTCCAGTCTGTCTCAGTCTGGAAGTTTTGTTGTTTCCTGCTCACCATAGTTGACCCTGCTGATATTTGAAATAGCAGTAGTACAGCTTTCAGCATCTCAGCATCATGCAAGTATAAAAGTATGACAAGCTGACAAATAGTGGTGTCCATATAACACAGTTTAGCCAAAGAAATGAAGATTAATGTCACTAGAGAGAATGTTCCAGTTTTAATGTTGTTGTTGTTGTTGTTAAGTGCTGTCAAGTTTATTCCAACCCATAGCAACCCTGTATAGGGTTTCCAAGGAGGAGCTGGGGAGCTTGAATCACTGATTTTGCAGTTAAAATGACTTTGTGGTCTGAATCAGCACCACACCAGGATAGCAAAATTTATCTGGAAGCACCTTTGACCTTAGCCTTCTTGCCCCTTCACTCTTTTTCTTTCTTCCTGTCTGGAATACAGAAATGAGGCCTGGAGCTATAGCAACGGTCTTGTGAATATGAGACAAAATCATGTGAATTAAATTCTACAATCTAAGAATGATTGAGGTGAAAAGTTCAACAGTGTTTTGATGGTATCATTGAACTGCCATGACAGCTGTGGGCCATCAATCCAGGAAATTTTTATTTCATGAGGCAAATAACCCTCTGTTTAAGCTGCTATTGTAAGTAGTGGTGGTGGTTTGTGTTGTCAATTGGTTCCGACTCATAGAACCAATTTATGTTTCTCCCATGGAGCAGCTGGTAGATTCGAACTGCTGCCCTTTTGGTTAGTCCAGTTCAAAAGGAAGTTGTTTACCTGTGCTTTATTGACTATACAAAGGCTTTCGATTGTGTGGATCATGACAAGCTATGGACAACATTGCAAAGTATGAGTATTCCAGAATACTTAATTGTGCTCATGAGGAATCTGTACCTGGACCAAGAGGCAGTTGTTCGAGCAGAACATGGGAAC